CGTCACGGGCTGTTAAACTGGTGCTTACTAATGCTGGCATCAACACTCCTTTGCTGACATTTTCCTGAATGTCACATTTGTGTGTAATGAAGGAGACCTATTTAATTGTCCTGGACAATTTCAAACAGGGCTCCCTGTGTAGAGTTGTCACGTTCTCCCCGTGCCTGTGTGGGTTTTCTCCGGGTACTCCGGTTTCCTCCCACATTCCAAAAACTTGCATGGCAGGCTGATTGAACACTCAAAATTGTCCGTAGGTGTGATTGCGAGCGCGGATGGTTATTCGTCTCTGTGTGCCCTGCGATTGGCTGGCAATCGATTCAGGGTGTCCCCCGCCTACTGCCCGGAGACGGCTGGGATAGGCTCCAGCATGCCACGCGACCCTTGTGAGGATAAAGTGGATCAGAAAATGGATGGATGCATTCATTTCAGTTTCCAGATGTTTTATTAACATGTCTCCGGCTTTAGTTCCAAATATCCCAGATCAAGAATTATTGTACACTTAGAAGACGCTGTTGTTGTGCTTAAATTTGCAGATGTTTATCATGCAAATGAGTGACAGTTGACTGTGCCTCATATACTGCTGGGCCCAATGGTGAGACTGGCTATCATTACCTTTTCAGGTAGGGAGGGAGTGAGGGCATGCAAACGAGGGAAGTGCTCACTCTGTATCTGGATACTTCATATAAAATGTTATAATGATAGACCAGGGGTTCCAACCATTTATGAACAATGATCTACTCCGTAAGCAGCCAACTGCCCACAATTGTGCACGTATACACACTTGCACATGCACGCATACGTACGCACACATGCGTGCTATGATGAACAACAGCCATAAGGGACCCTTCTGTGAACGAAAAAGAAAAGTAAACTAGATACAACACAAAACTGAGTTGGTAAAAGGAAATCACTGCCTACCTTAGTGGGAGACCTGACACAGGGAGGCAGGGATGCGTGTTAGGTGCAGAAACATCACTATGGTAGCGTGCGTGTACCATTTTAAAATGCTACTCCTGGCGCTCCCGATTCAATTTCTTTAACAATGCCATCAGTGCATTGCAGAGCAAACAAACTTTAAATGAGGAAAAAATAAAAAGCTCTGATTCCTAGCTGCAAATGCTGACTGCTGGCCGTTAACATCTTCCTTATATAAAATACAATTTTTATTTCCCCCGACACTCCCCCGCGCTCGATTATCGGGGCCGATATTTGGCATTTTGGCAATTGTCAACCCCCAACATCTGATAAATGAAATACTGGGTTATTTTTGTCCTGGCTGCAGTACGGTTTCCAGCTGTGACTCGTGTCCAGCACTGACCCGTTCACATCAGTGATCTGACTGATTGCGTGTGCAGTGGGAAACAGCAGTGAAAGCTGCATGTTCTCTGCTTCTCAAGACTCACACTTGCGTGGAGCGGCAAAAAGTTTGACGGTCCAGTGAGCAGATGAAGTTAAGGCTACAGACTTTACCGAAAAATCCCAGTCTTCCAAAACTCACAACAACTTGTGACATTACTGTGAACCCATTAACGTTGTATGAACACAAGCGGCAGCTCTCCTCGCAGCAGTAATTTGCCTTGCTTTGAGGCTAAAGCTAACTGCTCCCCTTTGTCACATTGCAGAGATAATTTGCTATGTCACCCACATGGCTCCGGAGGAAAGTTTTAACCACTTGAAAAAAGGTTGCTGATCATATTGATTGGGAAATAGTGATGAAAGAAAGAAGTGTGCGTGTGTGTGTAAACCACATGATAAGATGGTGCAGAAATTGACGGCAAGTGAAAGTCCGGTCGTAGAAACATTTAGAGCTATAAATGTCACTTTTCTGCTGCCACAGAAAGCCAGTATGGTCGAGACGGCAGCTGCACATGGGACACACAAGAAGGACGGAACACCCATAAAAAGCAATTGAGAAAAGAGAGCCATGTTGATGGATGTTCAGTTCTTTGGCCACCAGCTGCATTGAGAATGAGCTTTTTTTTTGAAAGGTCAACTTTTCAGTTCCATTGAATTTTTGAAAATTTTTTACTGTTGTTGGAAATGTTTCATTTTTTTGTTTGCATTTATCTTCCTAAGTCATGCTGCTGAGCCTGGTTGCGCCTGGCCCATTTTGTTTGAAAAGTGTGCACATCGCAAAAGCCCTTTGAGAAACAAGTCTGAAAAATGAATTTGTGAATTTGTTGAGCCAAGTGGCTCAGAAATTTTGGGGAAAATCTGGAAAAATGTGACAATAAAATGGCCACAAGTTCAGTTTTGTGTAATTATAACATCTCTTTTTCAACTGAATACACTCAAGTCACTTTTGTTGACATGTCCTGTCCTGAACGCTCGCTTTCATGAAGCTTTTTCAGTTTCCAGATGTTTTATTAACATGTCTCCGGCTTTAGTTCCAAATATCCCAGATCAAGAATTATTGTACACTTAGAAGACGCTGTTGTTGTGCTTAAATTTGCAGATGTTTATCATGCAAATGAGTGACAGTTGACTGTGCCTCATATACTGCTGGGCCCAATGGTGAGACTGGCTATCATTACCTTTTCAGGTAGGGAGGGAGTGAGGGCATGCAAACGAGGGAAGTGCTCACTCTGTATCTGGATACTTCATATAAAATGTTATAATGATAGACCAGGGGTTCCAACCATTTATGAACAATGATCTACTCCGTAAGCAGCCAACTGCCCACAATTGTGCACGTATACACACTTGCACATGCACGCATACGTACGCACACATGCGTGCTATGATGAACAACAGCCATAAGGGACCCTTCTGTGAACGAAAAAGAAAAGTAAACTAGATACAACACAAAACTGAGTTGGTAAAAGGAAATCACTGCCTACCTTAGTGGGAGACCTGACACAGGGAGGCAGGGATGCGTGTTAGGTGCAGAAACATCACTATGGTAGCGTGCGTGTACCATTTTAAAATGCTACTCCTGGCGCTCCCGATTCAATTTCTTTAACAATGCCATCAGTGCATTGCAGAGCAAACAAACTTTAAATGAGGAAAAAATAAAAAGCTCTGATTCCTAGCTGCAAATGCTGACTGCTGGCCGTTAACATCTTCCTTATATAAAATACAATTTTTATTTCCCCCGACACTCCCCCGCGCTCGATTATCGGGGCCGATATTTGGCATTTTGGCAATTGTCAACCCCCAACATCTGATAAATGAAATACTGGGTTATTTTTGTCCTGGCTGCAGTACGGTTTCCAGCTGTGACTCGTGTCCAGCACTGACCCGTTCACATCAGTGATCTGACTGATTGCGTGTGCAGTGGGAAACAGCAGTGAAAGCTGCATGTTCTCTGCTTCTCAAGACTCACACTTGCGTGGAGCGGCAAAAAGTTTGACGGTCCAGTGAGCAGATGAAGTTAAGGCTACAGACTTTACCGAAAAATCCCAGTCTTCCAAAACTCACAACAACTTGTGACATTACTGTGAACCCATTAACGTTGTATGAACACAAGCGGCAGCTCTCCTCGCAGCAGTAATTTGCCTTGCTTTGAGGCTAAAGCTAACTGCTCCCCTTTGTCACATTGCAGAGATAATTTGCTATGTCACCCACATGGCTCCGGAGGAAAGTTTTAACCACTTGAAAAAAGGTTGCTGATCATATTGATTGGGAAATAGTGATGAAAGAAAGAAGTGTGCGTGTGTGTGTAAACCACATGATAAGATGGTGCAGAAATTGACGGCAAGTGAAAGTCCGGTCGTAGAAACATTTAGAGCTATAAATGTCACTTTTCTGCTGCCACAGAAAGCCAGTATGGTCGAGACGGCAGCTGCACATGGGACACACAAGAAGGACGGAACACCCATAAAAAGCAATTGAGAAAAGAGAGCCATGTTGATGGATGTTCAGTTCTTTGGCCACCAGCTGCATTGAGAATGAGCTTTTTTTTTGAAAGGTCAACTTTTCAGTTCCATTGAATTTTTGAAAATTTTTTACTGTTGTTGGAAATGTTTCATTTTTTTGTTTGCATTTATCTTCCTAAGTCATGCTGCTGAGCCTGGTTGCGCCTGGCCCATTTTGTTTGAAAAGTGTGCACATCGCAAAAGCCCTTTGAGAAACAAGTCTGAAAAATGAATTTGTGAATTTGTTGAGCCAAGTGGCTCAGAAATTTTGGGGAAAATCTGGAAAAATGTGACAATAAAATGGCCACAAGTTCAGTTTTGTGTAATTATAACATCTCTTTTTCAACTGAATACACTCAAGTCACTTTTGTTGACATGTCCTGTCCTGAACGCTCGCTTTCATGAAGCTTTCTATTGTTAGACCTGAAAAATGATGATCACATCTAATCAACATAATTTTTTGTTTTTGCCTGCATATAATGATCTTTCACCTGCACTCAAATCGCTCATCGCCAAACCACCATGAAGTCTTTCTTGAACAAGTCGGAACTCTTTTCTTCCCTCGCCGACCTTAAGCTCGGCGGGTTTTACATGCGGCTGAGTCTTATTTTTTTTTCATAATTTTTTGTTCAAATTTCAAAGCAGATCTTATTGAAAGATTTGGGCTGTTAGGATACTCCCATATCACTGCAGGAAGAGCTTCCTGACTGTGTTGCGATCCCTGTCCTACAGAGCCATATGTGCTTGTCCCACCCCTACTGGCTCTCATTCAGTCGCTCAGTGTGGAAAAGCCATCTTAGAAAACAAGTGTCCTATCTTGCTGGACTGACTGACATGTGCAAAAGAATAAATCAACTTTTGGCTCGTAATGGTGTCTGTGAGAACAGACCTGGTTTGGTTTTAGTCAAGCTGTGCTTTGTAAAACGCCTCTGGTGAGATTGAGTAGTCACATTGGTAGCATCTAAATGAGCTTGTTTTATAACCACAAAGAAGCTTTTTAAACTGGTCATAAACTAATCCACGAGTGTCGCATTTTGGTTTGGAATGCTTTTTTGTTCGCCATACAAACGTTTTTAAGTAACACTCCCCATATTGTAGTCTTGTGTGCATTTTAAATTTACAACGCTGTCTTGTCTCTCGCAGATATGAAAGGAGTTGTACGGAAGAGCAAATTCCGTCACGTCTTCGGCCAGGCGGCGAAAAATGATCAGTGCTACGATGATATCCGGGTGTCAAGGGTCACATGGGATAGCTCGTTCTGTGCGGTCAACCCGAAGTTTGTCGCCATAATTATTGAAGCCAGCGGTGGTGGAGCTTTCCTGGTTCTCCCTCTAAATAAGGTAAGATGAATACACACTAAATATGCTCCATGAAGAGTGTGGTGACTGTGAGCATGCAATTATCTAACCCCTGTGGAAATGTCAAGTTTTTGTGATGTGAAAAAATGAGACCAGGATCATTTTTTCATCAAAACATTGTTAACCTTTGTCATCACCAATAACCCGTGCAAGTAGGGCTGTGCGGTTTAAAGCACTGATAACTTTACAGTTTAACCCCAGTGAGTCCCAGGGACTCGCTGATCAGAAAAGTATGAGTCCCATTAATGCATTTAGAGAGTCCCAAATTTCGAATTCTGAAATGGTCTACTTATTTAATTGCATATGATAATAACACAAACAACAACAATATACATTGATAATAGGTTTATTTCTTATAAACAAATGCTGCAAAAATGTAAATAATTCCGGCATACAAGATTTGCTGAGAAATAGGTTATTTCATCCCATGGTTCAGTCTTTGAGTTCATAAATTCTCATGTCTTTACACTGCTTCCAATGATGCAAGGCTTTCTCAAAGTCAATTTATCATCGCAAAAAAATAACCAACTTTAGCTGCTTCCTCTGTGATATCTCCTTAATAAACTTTTGCAACACTTGTTCGCAACACTTGTTTTAACGTTACACAACTTGGCAATCGTCTGCTTTCTGCGATGTGAAGGCCGATCTCGCCAATCTCATCCCGCGAGAACGGAAATCTCGTCACGCGAGATTACTTAACGCGAGATCAAAACAACAATGGTGGCGTTTATCAAACTACGATCGTTGCTGGAAAAAAAGATGTACTGTAGTTTTTTTTTTTGTTTTGACTGAGAAATTTCCTTGCACATTATTTGGAACTGTGCGTCCCGCGGGAAAATTACACGTCTAGGACGCAGGACGCAGAGATAACGACATGGCTGATATAGTATTCAATATAATGTATGAATTCGTGCAGAATGCACTTGGCAAAATGCAATGTTTGTGCAAATTGATAACAGAACCTTCAAGGGTATAAATATTTGCTCTGAGTCTTTTGTTTTTCCATAAACTGATGCTTTTTCCTTGTATGACTGACTAGGGTGAGGTTGCTGCAGAAGGCCACTGTGACTCAGCATAGCCATGCATCTCGTTTCCTTCTTTTTGAACACGCCATTCCTTTCCCTCGTGCTTTCAATCTCATCCTTTGTTTCACTTATCTGAACGTCGGCTAATTTATTCCCTAATTTCCATATGAAGGAAGCTGTGGGAGGGAAGGCAGCTAAGCAAGTGAAACATTCCTGATTATCCCATTCACGTTTTGGCGTGGTATCCACCTCATTCCTGAGGACTGTGATGTTGAAACAATTTTGGGCGAGACTTTCCTGTAAATCACCGGAAGTAGCCGTAAGACATTTATTACAACGGCTTTCATTTCCGGGAGCGGTTTCTTTGAAGGTTTTTTTTTTGTTTTTGCTTTTCTAAACGATCATAGCCCCCGATAGCATGTAAAAATGTATTGCACAGCTTGGGAACTTGAACAAATTTTAGTCTGTGGCTAAAAGAGCAATGTTTTGAACATGGCCCCCAGGGGGAGGAGAGAATTTTCCAGCGCCTACATGAGGATGAGGAGCACAGAAGATTAGGATGAAAATCTTGATTTGAAAAGACAACCTAAATGTTGTACGTGCGTCAGAAGAACATTGGGTGTGATTTTGTGTGTATGGGGGACACGATACTTTAGATTATTAGTCAGGCAACAACATTTTTCTGAACAGTTCATATGTGAGTGTGTTTGGACTGTTGCTAGGCACTATTAACTTAAAAATGCACAAACATAAATTGTTCAAAGATTCAACATTTTAATCTTCGTAGACAATAATGTTTTTGCTGTTATCATGTAGCGGGTTTTCCTTCGTTTTTAGGCGCACATACTAGGCAATGTGGTTTACTGTGCAGTGGAAAGTTCATAGGGTTGATTTTAAGGGTAAGGATTTGGCTGGGTCACTTGAAGGTAAATTTAAGACTGTGTCCAACCTCTGTACAAAATGCAACCACCTTTATTTCTGTGTAGGTACTGATACCCCTCAGAGCTTTTGAGATTGCTCCTTGCCTCACTATCTGAATGACAGACTTAAAAAAACGCAACACTTTTTTTGTCTTCCTCATACCCCTTTAAGATATGACAACTAGCGTTGCCACATTGTTTAAATTTGTAACTGTCATACGAAGTGGACTTCGGCAAAGAGCTTCCATATAAACAAAACACCAATTCTGGTTCATACCGAAAGTTGTGCCCATAATCCACATAAGGCTCATCGGCCCTTAGAATATGGTGGATGTGGCGCTGGGATGTCGATACGATACTTGTTTAATATAGTTTTTGAATCAAAGGAACAGCTTGTTCTCCCTGACCATGCTGAGGACATCTGCGTCTTGAGTCCCACGCAAGCTGTCAGAACGGCATTTAGCTCTTATAAATTAAAGCATAGCATGTATGGCCTAGTGCTTATTGTTCAATACATATATCTGTGTTTAATATACATGTATGAAGTAGTTCGAGTGGATGAGAAGTTGGATGGAGCCAAATGAAGGGCCAATTTGGAAGAAAACCTGTTGGTGTGTCTGCAAAAGACTTGAGGCAGGCATGGAACTACCTTCCAACAAGAAATCTGCAATGGAATGGTTCACAACTAAACGTACCCAGGTGTTCAAATGACCAACTCAGGTTTCATACAGACCTGAATGCAATTGAAAATCTATAGAAAGATCTGAAAACTACTATTTCCAAACGCTTTCTATCTAATTTAATTAAGATAGAGCTTTTTTACACGGATGAATGGGCAAGAATTTCACTCTCTACATGTGCAAAACCAATAGACACCCCAAAAGACTTGAAGTTGTCCTCACAAAAAAAGTGGTTCTACAAAGCATTAACCTCAGGGATGAATAATTTTGCATGTCCTACCTTCAGCTTTTAAATTTTTTTAAAAGACTGCATAAATTTCGTTCCACTTTGATTGTGTCCCACTTCATGTTGATTCTTCCCATTTTTAGATCTTGATTTGAAACCTGAAATGTGGCAAAAGGTCATAGGGTGGGCTAATGCTCTTGCAAGGCAGTGTGTCTGTTGATATGTTTATGTATATACTCATATCTGTACATAAACAGGTAATGTCCCTTCTCATGTGTTGATCAGCTGATGTTGGTGTATGTTGATTTGTTGCTCAGTTGGTTGTGTCTGCATTTGCCTCTGCTGGGCGCAGTCCTGCTGACTGCAGAATTTACCATATATGGTCAAATCTGCTCCCTACCCTGACAGCCTTCCAAGAGCGTTTCCTCTCTGCCTGCTATTGGCTGCTCCATGCAGTGCCAGTCCATGCGAATGTCGAGCGGCTGAGATGAGAGAACGCGGCTGTAGTCAGATGTCCCCATCCACCGGCATATGTTATAATCTATAAGATTGTTTCACGACTCGATTATATTTCAGAATGTGGCGCTTATACTATAATTATGTTCCAGACCGTTTTCTGCAGTGAAATCGTGGAGAATTATTCTATCTCCCAATGAGGCAACAGGGCAGGCATTCTCAAATGTTTTCATGAGTTGTGTGTGTGTGTGGGGGGGGAGTATACATCTTATTTTATAGTGGACTGTAGATATCTCTGTTTTTCCATCACCATATGGTGCTCTTGTTGCGATATTCACCGCCCCTCATTTAGCGCTGTAAGCCTTTCTAGTTCTGATTGTGATTTGTCTTCTGCTTCCACCTTGTTTGTGTCCAGCACACGGATAGAGAGACTTGTAAAAGGGGAATTTTCCATTACACTGTATTGGACAGCATCTGCATTGAAGAGACGTGTGAATCATACCTTGGGCTACAAGGGGAGGAAGTGTGCAGGCCTCTTGTGTCAATGAAAAGAATGCCCTGTCCTGCCGGATGGAATGCTGTTCCTCAAATGTGGTTTGTTTTTCGCTGGTGTGCTGCTTTGTGACATGTGCATACATGCGCGAGTGTGAGTGAATCACCTTTATTTTCTGCTTTCGTACTGGTTGCTGTGCAACTGGTTGTTCCGTAGGCTTCGGATCCTTTTGTTACACTGGTAATAAAAGTTATGTAATTGTATGCCGTATTTAGCTCCTTGATGTGGGTGCTTTCACACTATTGAACTTTTGACACAAGTGCATTCACTTTCATGTCGTTTTGTTTGTTTTTGTATTTATTTTATTGCTGGCATTCGGAACATTTGTCGCTGATGCGCTCTGGAGACCAGAGTTGAAATTTGCAACTATTTAACAACCGTTAATGAACTTGTCAGAATAGAGACTGCTCCCAGACAGACGGGCCGATCTTGCGCTCAACTTTGTGAACACAGCAAAAAAAAAAGGACCTTTGACCAAGAGAAGTAAAACTTTTCATCAAGATTGGAGACAGATTTGATTTTCACAGACAATATGCCGAAGTCATATGGTTTTAAATCTGAGCTTCGGACCCCTGTGTGGAGTTTGCATGGTTCTCCCCATGCTTGCACGTGTTTTCTCCAGTTTCCTACCACATTCTAGAAATTCGTGGTTGATTAATCGAAGACTTGAAATTTCCTTTAAGTGGAAATACGCATCGGCCAGTATCCTATTATGTTGGTATCGAGTAACATGAACAAACACGTTGCCCTGCACTTTCCTTAACAACTCAAAAATAAAACGGCTCATACCATTAATAGAAATTTTGAGCAGTCTTGAAACGAACACATTCTGTCAAACCAATAACCGGCCCATGCCTCGGCGCAGGAAGTTGGAGGTGGAAGCAAAGCTATTAGGTTGATGGCTTGGGAATACGGCCAAAGCGTGGGAGCATTTCGGACTGAAATGCAAGGCGAGTACCATGTCGTGTAGTCCTTACACAGACCTCACTTTTCTGTGACCTCACTTTATTGTGGAAGATACCCAATAACGCCACATAGGACCTGTAAGAAGATAAAATTAACCAGAGAGCTAGGTCTCAGTTAATGATGTCTACTGTCAAATTTGTGGGTTGTTTATTCCCAAAGTGAAAAGTCCGGTATATACCCGCACCTACAGTTATATCACAAGAGTGCTTATTAGTTTTGTTCAGTATGGGTACCTGGCACTGTCTGACACAAGGCCACTCTAGTACTGTACTTGTACTCTTAAGTTATGGTTTGACGGGTTTTGGTCAACTCAGATGAAGGAAATACTCTCATGAGGTGTCTTCAACACTTCCACAACTTTTTGGAGGACAAAGAATATTTGTTTTATTCCTTGTCAGCTTGGCTGAAAACAAAGAACCAAAAAAAAAAAAAACACAGCCATGAACCTCCTGTATTGTCACGTGATAAAATGCTCACTATGCAAGGTGAAGTTGCACCAGGGCTGTTGATGCCTCATTTAATGAATGCCTCATGTTTTTGATCCAACAAATGCTCCCTTTAAAGTACAGATGCACAGAGATCTGTTTGAAAAGAGAGTAAGAGTAAAAAGTCGTAAGAACAATACATGCTGAAGTAAACTACAGATACTCTGGAAAGCGCTTCGTTACAGCTGCAGCCGTTGTGAACGCGCTATATAGAGATGCATTGCACTGCATTTAAACTGAAATGTACATTTGTGTTTTTAAGTTGCCTTACTGAAAATGTTCGAGCTAGAAGTCAATCGTTCAAGCATTTGGGAAGCTAGCCTATCTTTAATTTGATGAACATATAAAACACATTGATGACAGTTCAAACTCTTAATATAGGGTCGGTGGGCATATTTTTCAGGGGGAAAAAAACTTGGATCATACTCCCAATTTTCCCTACTTTTGGCATCTTAACATTACAACTTGAGGGTGAAAGTGAGCCCATGTGACGGCTGTAGCTGACGAAGGATGAACAGCTTTGTGCAAACTGTGCAAGAGTGTTTTGAGAACTGGAATGAGACCCTCTTCCAGGTGTCCTCAGTCCGGTTGATCTGGTGTGCGCAAATTAGTTTGCTATGTACACACCTGTCCAAAGCAAAAGCGGATATTAATTTTTCATTAGAAGGTGCTAGTGGGAAAGCACTCCTAGTGGTTATTTTGCGTTGAACTGCTAACATGTAAAAAAAAAAAAAAAATGGTGATCTTATTCATACAGAGAGTTTTCCTGGAGAATTACGAAATTCTTTAGCTGGCAAGAGGGCAGATCAACGGGTTTTCTCTACACGCCGTGGAATTCCTTATTGTTTGGGGGATAAATAACACCATTAACACCTCAAAGTCTGTTATATTTGACACCCAAGCCGCCCCTCTGCTCTCATTTGTCATACACATACCTGGTTGGCTGAGTGGGCAATTAAAAAAAAAAGTCTGTGTCGAGCCGAATTGTCGGCCAGATTTGTGTGTGTGATTGTTTTGGGTCTTGATTGTGAGTAGGCCAGTCACAATAACACATTTTTTTGGGCGATATCATCATTGATTTTTATTTATTTTTTAATTAATGCCACTGATATAACTACATTTGACCATAATTTAGGGACATCCTTCACGAGCAATCGACCTTCCAATTCCCAAGAGTATTGATCATTGGCATGGAAATGTAGATAATTGACACAATATAAATAAAAGAGATTGTGCCTCTGTTTACAAAAAAAAATAATAATAACTTCAATATTAATACATAATACACACAACCACACAGTAGTGGCAGAATGTGTTCTGGTTGGACAAGGCTGGAATGGTTCATCACTTCAGTTAAGAGTTGGAGAATGCGTCACAGCCCAACTGTGTGTCAGTCAGGTGACAGTATGGTTACATAGCTAATGGTCATGCATTTCCAGCCATTTTGGGACTGTATGAAATAAAAGACGCTCGTCAGTACTCCAGCAGTTAATTTAGCTGCTCCCATGCACTTATCTGGAAATTACCCAGAGGAGAAATGTGTTGCAAATGTGGATGCCCTAATCAGTTGCACAGGACATTAAACAGACTTGACCCTCCCTCGTACAAAGTCCACATGCAATTGGCCTTGAGTAAATAGAAGAGTTGTTCACATAGTTTTCAAAACACTAGTGGCAGCACAATACTCCTAACTTGGACTGTACTCTCCCTTTTTGCCCTCAATGATTTTTTGCTCATTCATCCCAAGTCAGCTGTTTGATCAGAACTTCCAGAGGCTGAGCAAAGGAAGTGAATACATTTAAAGAAAAAGAAAGGCCTTTCACATGCCTACATTTGGTCTGTAGAGACGAGTGCCCATCACCGCTCCATTTGCTCACAGACTTAACCGTTAACACTGTAACGTCATGGCTCGTGTTGTACATTTGTTCTATTTCATGAATTAAGTGTGAAAACTTTATGCATAGGTCATGCATCAGTGCAGTGTTTATTTTGCAATGAGCTGTTATTTTGCATTCAGAGTGGCCTTTTTGTGTTGTTGTTTCGTAGGAAAGCATTGTTTGGATGTTTAAGGTATCGCAAATGCGAAAAAAATATCAATGTGCAAGTTCTGCTTGAATGCATCCTTTCACAAAAAGCTCTTTTCCCTGAATTCTTCTTGGAAACGAGAATTTTCAAGAATATTACCAATGTTCAACTGCTGTTTACTAAATGGTAAAAGGTTAGAATTCTATTTTTTTATTTCCTGATGGAAGAAGAGGGTTAAAGCTTACTTTTGGTCAGTTTCATGCTTTGTATAGCTTAAGAACAACATTTTCTGGAGGCCTTCAAAAATTGGTCAAAATGGTCAAAAATGATTGGCACGCCCGTGCTCTCTCAATTTAAGAACAACAGCTGACATTGAATGAGTTAATGTGTACAGGTTGTTGAAATGAGAAGAACATGTCAATGACAAGTACGTACTGTACTTTTGGAGCCAACCTGCACAGACTTGTCTCATTTGTTTCATAGGTGCAACTTCAGAGTCCTTAAGCACATCAAAATTAGATTTCTGCTATTTAATAAATTATTGCCAGCATTAACTGTGTGTGCGTGTGCGTGCGTAGTGCGTGCGTGCATGCGTGCGTTTTCGTGGATGGAAACGTCTGATTCCAAACGTATTTTCTACGAGTTTAATAGGTCTGTGTAACAAAGATGTAAAAAAAAAATGATCATAATACATTTTTTGTAAGCATCTTGCAAGACGCTGCGTCGCTCTGAAGGCTGCGGCAAGTGAGCAATTGTTTTATATGAAACCTTTTTTTTTTTCCCAAAATAGATACAAGTAGTCTGAACAGGGTGTCTACGACACTCAAAATAATAATAATCTCAAAAGAGCAGAGTTCTCCTTTCTTGGGTTATTCAACAAGAGCAGCATTTTCACATTTATGGAAACTAGTAAAAAATGGTGTGACCACAATGTTTTTCTTTTTCTTCATTATTTTCACTATGAGATGTTTATGTAAAAGGGTTTGGGATTTTATTTGAACAAGACAGATGTGGAGATGTAAGGACTGCAGGCCTTGACTGTGTCATGTCGTGACTAATAACTTTCCCTAAGTACTGTCTTCATCGGTGCTTTAGATCTAATCTTGGTTTGTGCCTGTGCAGCTCCAGTTTGAAAGCCTTCAAATCCTATTTGGCACAACGAGAGGAGATAGATGCGTTGTAAGATTTTTGGGGCGGCCGAGGTCAGGTCATGGAATCGTCTTCCAAGTTGCCGGTGTGATCACCGGCTCCCCTTCTCTGTTTGTCAAAGTGTGCCCCAAAACAAGACACTGAAGCGCGAGTTGCCCCAATGAACAGGACACAGTTGTATGTCTGGCATGTCATCACAGCTGATGTTGAATGCCTAAGTAAGAGGGAGGAGACATTGTAAACAATTTGAATATCATTCGACATTACTTTTGTTTTTGTTTTGGTATTGTCTTGCAATGTACAATTGGTCATAAAGATTGTCATGCTGTAATTTTTCTTATTTGTGTTTTTTGTCAACTACTTTTTACTCCATGACTGCAGGATCGTTTGATCTACCCTTGTTTGCAAACGTATTGAGGATTCTACTCTAGTTTTCCTATTTCAAGACGTGATCAATTAGTGGGACTGACTTAATCGCCGCTTGTCTTTACAGACGGGACGCATCGACAAAGCCTGCCCGACAGTGTGCGGGCACACCAGTCCAGTGTTGGACATTGACTGGTGCCCCCACAATGATCAGGTCATCGCCAGCAGCTCTGAGGACTGCTCAGTGATGGTAAGATCGGCTGCACATTCACACCTCGCGTTCTTCTTAACTGTGTACAAACAGCAGCACACGTGTTTTGCCAACAGTTGATAAGAATTTCCCTGCTTTATTGCGAAAGATGAGCCTGTTGTAACCCATGCATGGGTGTGGGCCTCACCCTTTGGATTAGATTAGACCCAAAATAATAGTGGGGAGATTAGTGAGCGCTCTTTTTTTTCATCTGAGGTCTTTAACTTTTTTTTTTTAATGAAGCTAGTTGTGCTTTCCTCTATATTTCCTTATTTGGCCTTTACACTACAAATAAAAAGGGTACTGTTGAAGTCCAGCTTTATTCTCCCAAGGTACAAATTTTTAAGATTCACAATTGAAGGTGAAAATAAGAACGGTTTATAGTAAGAAACAGGTGCACAATTGGTACCTTTTTGTTTGCTTTTAAGGGTACAAACATGCTCGACCTGTGTCAGACTTTCGAAAGAGCCCACTGTTAGATGAAATACAGGTTCAAGAGATAAACCAGGAGAGCAATTATATAGATTAGGAAAGGGGAAATTCACAAAGTACATTTGAGAGCGCTGTAAACCTCACCTACTTCTCTCTATGGTGGCAGGGTCACTATCAGCTTGATTTTCTTCTGTAATTGAGATGAACATGTTCAAGTGCTTGCTAATTGACTGTTTGGCTCTTCCTGGTCAACCGGATCTATGCTTCAGTTATTAGCCAGTGTACAGTAGGATAGTGTCCAGCAAACCATTGTTTCTAGAAAATAAGGGCATCAGCCCTTCAATACTACACGTTGATTGCTGCTGCCCCCTTGAGGTGTTTTTTTAGAATGCATACACCAGCGTTCTTTTTTATACATGAGCAATTTTAGACTCCAGTCAGGGTGGGTGTCACTATCAAATATTTTAGAATTGATTATTTCATGGATTTGGAAGAAACATTTATTGCCACACGTTTCTTCCATTTATTAGTTCTTTGTTGTTTATTTGTGGTCGTTTATTTGGTATTGTGTAGTGATGAAACATAACCAAACAACGTTTAAAGAATATCAGGTGAATAGGGAGTGATTTTGTACTCTCCAACTTTTTTTGTAACCTGAGAGCTACTTCTTGGGTATTGATTAGTGGGAAGAGTTACTAGTTTGTTTTACACTTCTGAGGGTACGTCAGGTTGTGGTTCAACTACCTGCCATTATTTGGTTATTCATACCACATCTGCAAATAACCATTCTATTCATAATAGATTACAATGACTTTGCTTTTTCGATAGTTTGCCTATGATGAAGTAACTCGTTTGTCAGAAAATTTGACAAAAATGTTCATTGTTTTCCAAAGTAACTGATGTGTGCAAATGTCTTCTTATGAATAAACCCAAACATAAAGCAATCTGCTTTCATGGAATACGTACTACAGAAAAAAGATGAGAACCTGAAAGAGATGATTAATCACTCATCTAAAGGAATTGTAAATTAATTTTATGATTGATGAATTTTCAATTCAGCGATGAATTGTGACACCTCTGGATTGTTTACTTTCTAGTCTGAAATTAGCCTTGCTGACGCTGCTCTTCGTTGGAATTTGTGATCTTTCACAGGTGTGGCAAATTCCTGAGAACGGCCTCGTGGCTCCCATGTCCGAGCCCGCCGTGGAACTGAAAGGTCATTCCAAGCGAGTCGGCGTAATCACATGGCACCCCACAGCTCGCAATGTTCTTCTGAGTGCAGGTGGGAGACAAGTCTCTGGCTGCTCAAATAATTTGCCTAACATAACTTGCTATACTACTTCATATACCGTTCTGACACTTTGGTCTTTGAGCCAGTAATATATTGTCTAGGAAAAGTATGCCTCAAAATAATATTTCGAGGGACAACAATGAGACCATTACTTACATTCCTGCTCAATTACTTCTTTACTTGCTGTGTCAGGTTGTGACAACGTGATCATCATCTGGAACGTGGGCACAGGCGAGGCCATGATCACTTTGGATGACATGCATCCCGATATGATTTACAATGTTTGCTGGAATCGCAATGGCAGTCTCATCTGCACTGCCTGCAAGGACAAGTCTGTCCGTGTTATTGACCCCCGCAAGGAGGAAATTGTTGCTGTAAGAGAAAAACGAAAGGGTGGTGGGAGCCAATTTTTTTTTTTTTTTTTTTTAAGAACAACATTTTGTATGAAATATGAACTTTTCTTCCAGGAGAAAGAAAAGGCACATGACGGCGGTCGTCCCATGAGGGCTATTTTTCTGAAGGATGGCAAAATCCTCACCACTGGTTTCAATCGTAGGAGTGAGAGACTAATCGCCCTGTGGGACACGGTATGATGTTTGATTTGCACTGCTGGTACATTTGCTCACTCTGCACTGTTTATTATACTGTCATCAGACTTTAGGCTCACCTCACTCTTTGTGCTAAAGCACAGGTGTCAAACTCAAGTCCTGGGGGCCAGATCTGGCCCGCCGCATCATTTTATGTGGCCCGCGAAAGCAAATCAAACATGTCAACTTCCATGACGTGTGCTAAAATCTCTACCAAAATGTAAAATTCTCATCTGTAATAAATAAGAGACACATTGTAAGCATGTTCTTGTAGCCAAAAACCTCATTACAGAAACTTAAACAATAGTTGAGTAAACCGTTATTATTGACTTTATAAAATTTGGTTTCAGTCATAACGGCCCTCCAAGGGAAACGGTAACTAAAATGACAAAAATGAGTTTGACACCCCTGTGCTCAAGTGAAGACGCACCATTACAAACTTGTAATAATTTAAAATTTGCAAATTTCCCCAGTGTCTGACAAATAAAGGTTTTCTTATCTTCTTATCTTAATATCAAATTTAAGCATTGGCATTATAACATTTTATGAGACTTGTAAAGTAAATCGGCAAATTTGCTTTTTAGGCAATTTAACCAGTCAACCATTATGCATTGCCGCTATTCCCAGCCTTTCATAAAAGAGCCTCTATTGTATGCTTATGCATTATTTCCAGAAAAACTTTGAGGAGCCCATGACTATGCATTGCATGGATGCCAGCAACGGGGTGCTCTTGCCCTTCTATGACCCAGACACCAACATGGTTTACGTTTGTGGAAAGGTATGTTCGGATTTATCAAACCTATCGTCTTAGAAATTTAGAACTCCCATTTTTTTGGTCTGTTTCTTTTTTGACAGGGTGACAGCAGCATCCGCTACTTTGAAGTGACAGATGAAGATCCATATGTTCACTTCCTTAGCAACTTTGTCTCCAAGGAGTCTCAGAGGGGCATGGGCTACATGCCAAAGAGGGGCCTCGATGTCAACAAGTGTGAAATTGCAAGGTAAGGCCTTATAAACAGTGCAATTCATACCCTCACCACTAGAGAGCAGAAGATGGTCATTAAACAGTCAAACATTTTTTTTCCTTTCATTTATATTTAACTTTAGGTAATAGTTAACTTTGTTTATTACCACCAGGTTCTATAAACTGCATGAAAGGAAATGTGAGCCTATCGTGATGACTGTACCAAGAAAGGTGAGTGCGTGGTCACCCTTCCTAAGCACTTGTTGGCGCTCAGCCAAACTAACCACCGCACTGACTTTATCTCTGCCCTCGGCTGTCAGTCTGACCTGTTTCAGGATGACTTGTACCCTGACACGGCTGGGCCTGACTCGGCCCTGGAGGCCGAGGATTGGTTTGAGGGGAGGAATGGTGACCCCATCCTAATCTCTCTCAAAAATGGCTACGTTCCAACCAAGTCCCGTGATTTCACGGTTGTCAAAAGGAACATTTTAGATGCCAAGGTGCCCAAGAGCACAGAGAACTCTTCCTCGGCCCAGAATGCATCGTTTGTGAGTATTGCTGCATTACAGTTGCATGCACTATGATTTGCACAAGGCGTACGGTACCTCGTTTCCAGTCATTTATTTAATTTGGCAGGGCATCACACTGGAAGCATACTCAAGTTAGTAGTTGTGCTCTGCATTGCAATCGTAGCTCTGGCCTTGTGGTGTTGAGTTTTGTGTACTCTACGCCACGGTCCAAAAACACTGGCATCTACGTGACTTGAGTGGTTAAGGGCGTCATGATCAGCCTTTTGTTGATCTGTCAACGGTGTACCCTCCCCGTTTCTCAGCTCTACCCTGAACAGGATGAATACATGTATGGCTGTTGAATCCGGACTGCATGAGCGGTTGTTTGCAAGATATACTGCGGATAGAAAATGCCCCCTTTTTTGTGAAAAAAAGACACCAGGATAAATCATTTCCTCCAAAGTGAATCTCTCACGCCTACTCTGTGTTTCATGCTCACAAATTTCACCAAATATTTTAAAACTTCTTGTGAGTAGTATATTTCTTGATCTTGATCTCAATTTACAAATGAGGGTGTCTGCCGCTGGCTCTGAACCACAACAGTCACCTACCTAGGAACCTTCCCATAAGCCTGTCTGTAGTGTGCTCTGAAATCACAACCCACTTGGCTTGAGAGCCACTTTCTGGCAAGACATGACTCATCAACTTTGCCACATTTTGAAATGCTTGGATTGATCAGAAGAAATCGTCCCTTGCAGATAAATTGTGTCTTAAGATGGTGCGAAGTTTTTCTTTTTCTATTATCTGCAATGTAATTGACCAATCCTCACCATATAGTGATTAGTCCCAAGCTTTACACACAATCACACGTGTTAATGTTGGCTTGTCTTGGACACTTTATGATCATGTGGTTTCTTTGACAAAAAAAATTGTTGATGTTATTGTACCCACAGCAGTCGGATGCCAAGCTGGAAGAGATTTTGAAAGAAATCAAATCCCTCAAGGACCTGGTCGGCAGTCAGGAGAAGCGACTTGTCACACTTGAAGAACAAATGTCCAAACTTGCTATTTAGGGACTCTTTGCCCGACCTGCTACAATCCACCACGTTCCACTGGCTGGGAGGACGACACGACCAGTCACAGCCTAACTCCATGACAGTGTTTCGTCTGGGGCCTGTCTTCGCGGCGATCCCCAGCAACATTCCAGATGAACTTTTCCTAGCCAGACCCAAACCCTCTGCATAACACAGTTGGAATAAGGACATGTGGCAACTTTTGCAGGAACTATTCCTCCTTTTTTTTCCCCCTTACAAAGAACTGTTCCTCTTTCATTCTGCGGCTTTTTTTTTAACTTGTATAACACGTCTTACACTATCATTTCCCTTTTTTTTGACAAAAGGGTGAAATAATTTCCAATAAAAACATTCCCAATTTTTTCCTTTTAAATGTTTTGTTGCCATACGACAAAATCGGAATGGCGATAAATTGAACTATTTCTTTGCATAATGCTCACTTGGATGACTTTGTTGATGATTGAGGCTGCACAAATCAACATTTACCTATCTTGTTCTTTTGTCCTATTTTTCTTAATGTCACATGCATTCCTGTATGCTTTGTGCGGTAAATGAAAATGTGCTCCTGTTATTTTAATGTGCAGCCCCTAAAAATAACGCATTCATCAATCACTAGAAATCTCCTTGGCTTCTGGGAGAGGTTCAGGCACATTCCACACACGATAGTCGGGTGTAATAAGATCATCGGTTGCCTTTGAGCATCGCCAACAATCATGAAAAGAGAACGTGACATTACATAATTGGTGATCAAATTGAAGATTGCCACAGAAAATGGCTCAAGATAGATTTTTTTTTTTTTTTTTAATGTAGATTGTGTGACTCTGTGCCTAATGTCTTTGGCTTTTCTAAATGTCAGCCTGGACATTCCATTTTTGCTTAATGGGGGTGGGTTGTTTGATTATTCATTGTAAGGTTTTTTTTTCAGCCTATTTCTCATTCCAGCTGTGCTTATGTCCCTCTTCGTGCATCCACTTTTTTTCCCCCAATACAGTACAGGAACCCCTCGTGAGTTAATAGAAAAGATCCATTTTCATTATTTTCCATCTGCTTCCCATTGGGAAGAAGAGACGGGTAAAAAGTGTTTGTCACTTGCATTCGATATTTGTTGCCTCTGTAAAGCCCTGAAAGTGCCATAGTCGCGACTGTGCAGATGTTTTGTAGAGGACTGTTGTGTATTTGCGCGTGTAGTTAAAGTCACATAGTAAAAGGAAGATATGAAACTAAACGGTGCCAAAACGTGCAAGTTCATCACACTTGGGATTCTCCACAAGTCTGTTTCCTGGATGACATCTTTACTTTGAAACATCTCATAATTACAGCAAGTATTATTGCGCTTCATTTGGAATAGCAGCATAACATTACAAGCCATTAAAATAAATAAAAGGCCAATATTGGTGGGTGGAATTTAGTGGGACATGACTATCTGGTGCTTTGCTTGCACTGTTGGCACCTGAGCTCGGTTTCTTAGAAAAGTAGTATAAAATAACTAATCCAAAGGGACGCTGTAGGTTGGAAATTGTTCAGTCGAAAGATGTATGTTTGTATTAAGGTCGAGAAAACGAGTGCAAGCTGTGTAAATGATGTTTTGTGTGTGTTTTTTAATTTCATTTCCTTTGCTTTGTTGCTGTGCCGAAGAGGGTTTTGTTTTTTGTTTTTTAGGGTTGGTGGGTTTTAAATGTTTCTCCTTGTTTGTGTTCCCTGCACCTTGCCATTATGTAACCTCTGTTATACTGGAGGCCATGTATGAAAATCAAAGAAAAATCAAGTGAAAATGAACCAGGTTAAAACCTCACTCCGAGGTGTGCTCAGCATTTTTATTTTTCTTGCTTCAAGTATCAAAACATTGATTCAAAAAAAAAAAATAAAAGACTTTTTAAAATGAGCTTGTGACTGGGTGATTTGATTGAATGCAATCACTGACGCTCCTTTCAACAGTTTAGTTGATAAACTTAGGAAATGTCACTACAATGAACTTTCCTTGTTGGCTTTTTTGAAGTCAAATTTGATTCAACCTATTAGTCCCCTTAGTTTGTACATCCACTGGAATTAGCCTTTATTTCCAAAATTACATGTATTTGTGCTACTAGTCAAACCTAATACATGATTTAAGTGACCTGTTTGTGTAGTATTTAAAAGTGACTAGTAGTAAGTGTTGCATGTAATCTTGTGCTAGTTGCATGTTTAAGTGGAAAGTTTTAGTAAATTGCCGCCTTGATTTCTGACCACCATCACATTAAGTAAGAAATGACCCAAATACAGATTCTTCATATGTTGCGATAAGTGCTTTTCTAGAAGCCTTTCAATTTAAATGTTGGCTCTGTACACGTGTTTTGGGATGAGAGGCTTGCTTTCTCCCTGTACCGGTCATGTACGCACTGCAGAGACAGGCTGTAATCAAGGCCATATAATTAGAGAGACATAGAAGGTTTGGGAGTCGCCCCACTGTGGACAGAAATACCCTGAAACATGGGCCTCTGGTACCAAATGCAACGTGGTCATTGTAAAGTGAAGTATAATCAGCTGAACTATTAATTGCTTACATGAGTCCCTGTAAAGCAGCCGGTGCATCATGCTCTACTCAAAGTTGGTGTTGTCTTGTGCATGTGCAGAAATATTCCTTTCTACATACATTCCCCTGTATTGCACTTGGGAGAAAAAAAAATGCAGAGTAAAACGATTCGATAGGACCTCAGCCAGGGGATTTGAGCCCAAAAGATGATCCCTTTTCGGCCGGACAACTTCAAAGCCACACAGTGCTGTTTTGTGCCTTCGAATCATCATCGTCACTTTTTTTTTTTTTCATTCTTATGGCGCCCCTGTATCTCAAACATGTCATGAAGTCGAGTAGGAATGAAGGAGGGAGGAGAAGCTGAAAATAGAGGGACGGACATCACTTTCCTGGGAGCGGTTGAAAAAATTGCTACAGTATAACAGGGACGGGAATGCTCGGAAACTCTCCTCCTCTCTTCCTTCACATTGGTGTTGCCCTCTTTGCCCCCCTGCTCTGTCCTCAGCTCACTGTGGTCCTGCTTACACCATCAACCAGCAGAACGTGTAAGTATGGATTTCCATTAGGATTATTTTCAAGTTTTGAGTTGAATGGATTGGATGAATAGCGAAAGATGTGCATTGTTTCTTCATGTGCTTGTGTTTTTGACATGTTATCTGATTTGTTTCTGTGATGCTATTGATGCAATGAGCATTCCTGGTAACTACATAAACACATTCAGCTGTAATTTATTTGCTCTAAAATATCGGATCAGTATGATATGCTTATATTTCTGTATTAGGACTGTTTCAAAGACATCCTAAAAAAAACCCCTCATCTTTATTCAAGGACTAAATACTACTTTCCACCACCATTGTTGATTTTTGTACCCTTATGTAATTTTAAATCCTACTCTGACCCAAAAAGTGACTGAACGGTCTGGAGTGGCATCTAATTACTCTGTACAGGTATCTAAATACCCACAATGTAAATGATTTTCATCTCTTTGACTATATGCGTGATTCTAGTCCGTACATACAGTATTTCACTAAGTGTGGACGCACCGGCATATTGTAGTAAATGTAATTATGGCCTTAATTACGGGCATTGAAGGGTTAGAGCAGTCCTATAGCTGAACAGAAAACCATCAGGCTGAGTGTGCGTATGCGACCACACAGGGAGGCCCTTTTACACTGTGCTGTGTCAGTAAGAGGCTCGACATTTTTATTTTAGCCCAAAAGCTCTTGTTACTATCTTGCATTTTCTAACATTTTAAATATTCACACTTTCTCTGCGGAACTGAAAGAGTTATAGCAAGCATAGTGTAGAAAAAGTATTGGGCAAATAATATTTAGATGTGAGGTTTTTTTTTTTTCTTTCAGCAAGTCAACATATTTCTCTGTGCACCAGCCCGCAGCAGCTGGTGCCCAGTGTAAATATAGAGGCCGCAGCCACTGCTGTCCCACGCCTCTGCGCACAACCTGGACTCTAACTTCCTGCTGGCTTTAGTGTGGTGGATGGGCGGCTTCTCTCTCCTCGACAAATTATAAGGCCCGCAGAACCAAAGTAACTGTCTCCACCCCAAATAAGTAATGGCTCTGCTGCCTGCTAAAATAGATCTGCTGCGAGATGGGAAATGGAAGAAAAACCTGAATCAAGGTGGTTCACATTACAGATGGAGACCGGGTTGTTGTTTTTAGGTTCAGGACCACACGTATACGGAACCTTGCCCAAAACACTCATCATAAAAACAGGAACAAGTCTAAGCAAAAAGTGATGTTCAGCTGAGCTTAATTTACAAGCTAATGTCTTTTTTCTTTGCAATTTCTTTGCTTTTATGTAGGCCTACTATCTTATAGTCTACTTCTATCACACTGATCTGCGAAGCTAACACCCAATCAGAGTGATTGCTTTTGACTTACATTTGTTCCTTCTCGTATGATGATGAGTGTGTTGGGCAAGATTAGTACATGTGTGCATTTATTTCATAAGACCCTGATTATGGATGGTATAAAACAATGACTTCTGCCGTTCTCAAAGGTGCGAAATTAATAATCTTGTTTAATGCTCACGATAGTGTCAACACTTTGATTGATGGTCACTTCTAATGCACGGCGGCAGCGCAGCCGAGTATCTCAGGGTGATGTGACCATGTGGAGATGTTAGTAAAATGGAACTAATATCTACATCACAGATAGACGTATATCAAAATCTTGACATGGGGGGTGGCAGTGGGGGGGGGGGGGAGCAGAGCCCACATAGCTCTGCCCTTGGACTGCAACTCACCCATGACCCAAATGAAGAGAAGCGGTGTAGAAAATGGATGGACAATTTTATATGGCAATTGTCCTCATTAGGGTTTTAGTTCCCTGCTGACTTTGGGTGAGACCCCACGCAAGTACAGGAAGAACAGACCAACCTCACAAAGCCAAGATTTAAATCGGGGACCTCTCAATTGTGAGGTTGACGCGCTAACCTGGACAGAGCATACGCCCTTTGTAACTTTGGGGCTTAAAGACAACGTTACCTTGAGCAAAATGGCTGTGAGTTAACAACTTGTATGGTACCTAATTGTTTTGATGATGTTGCAGGAAAAATGACATCCCGCTTGGTTTTCCATATGGCCTGCGTGACCTTGCTGTCACTGTGCTGCGGCGTGGCTCGGGGCACCCCCATGTTCTACAACGTGTCCATGGATGCTAGCGGTGATGACGGGTTGGAGTTCCTCTTCCCAAAGTACTTCTCCACTCGTGCACCTGTTCAAGTCAGCGCTGCTACCCATGTTCCCGACGCTTCCGACACCCCCACGCTCACCAACACCATCACCACTACCATCATCCGTCTGAAGGACTTTGTGCTAACCAGAGTGGTGGACTTCCTGGAGGCGAATCTTCTCATCATCATTGTTGTGACCTCTCTCCTCATCGTTATGGTCTTTATTATCTGCTGCGCCTCCGCCATGAGTCAGAAGCGCAAGCTGGCGGCCTACAAGGCCCCACCTCAAACTTCCACCAAGTACGCGGCGGAAAAAAACGTTGTACACAGAGGTCCGAACGAGTTCCAGGAGAGACCGTACGCTGTGGACCACATCAAGAGGGTCCAGATGCAGAGCAGCGCCTCGCCCAAGAACCTGCGCATGCCTTCCAAGGCTCTGGTGGGAGAGAGAGGCAGGGACGTTAAGTCGTCACCACGCCCAGAGGTGAGGAAGGTCAGGGAGGTCGAGGAAGTGGAGAATCGCAGAGAGGAGACCAAACACAAAGAGCAGACGAAGCGCAGGGAGGAGGTGCAGCACACCTCCAGTCAGCCTGTTTGCACCTGTCATCTGAAGAAGGCCCACCACTAGAGTGCCCTCACTCCTGCTGCTCGCATTGCATTGACACAGCAAACAGGAACCTAAGGAAAGGTGTTTGAGCATTTATTTGACATTAGAAAGTTCTACTCGTTTACATCTAGCAGTGTTTCACTTGTAGTAGCTCGCAGATGTCATCTCAGTTTGGCCTCACAAATAACATTCAGTTCTCCTCTTAGAATGTCAAAGTTATCCTATTAGCGTACAGAAATGACATACAGCTGTGGAAAAAAGACGACTCATAAGACATTCTATTAACGCTCTCCGGTTGTTCTTCTAATGTGGTGATTCGTCTTACTATTGAGGTTGTAGAGCACACCAGTACATAGACGTTAAGAGAGATATCAAAGATTTTGAATACATGCTCAAATGGCTTTGAAGGTAGAAACGGAAAGCATGTTACCAATATAACACAGCCGTTCTACTAGTACGCCTTGATCATTTTAATAGTGTGCTCCTTTGTCATACCAGTTAGGACAAAGTATAATTGACTACATGCTTCTTAAAGACCCTCTAAAGTGAATTCAGTGATTTGTTTCAAAATATATTGTACATGTTTGAAGATAATTGCTGAAAATGGAGAAAGAATGAGAAATACGCAGTACTGAATTTTGGAGATATACAGTTGAAGTGTTATTCGCCATTTTGGTTTTGCGCCCTTGTCTGCATCAGTGGTTATCTACAACAATTGCGATTCAATATTTTTTTTATTCGGCCCATTCCCACCACTATCGCGTGCAGTTAGCTCATTAGCTACGCCTACACCCTGAAAATGTGTCTTTCCTGGGAGCCATAGAATAGCCTGGTGTCAATATTTCAATTCCCAAGCGAGGGGGTGACGGGCGAGCTTGCTGACCATCCACCGGCTGAGAGGAGCCCTGAAAAGCTTGTAAGCTAGCTGGTGGCTTGCGCCTCAAGTCGTGACATGGAGAAGTCCTGCGGCGACCACGTTGGATAGATTGCAGCCCCCGGAGGCTTTAAGCGGATATATAGGCATAAGAAAGTAGCTTGTCCAAGGAGCATCAATTATTATTATTATTTTTTAAATATAAGGGGGTGTGGTTTCACTCATTTGGGGTATTTTCCCACAGCATTTAAAAATAAATTAACGGCTTGATTTTTTTTTAATCATTCAACATGGACAATTTATGATACATTTCTATTTTCACTTTACAGAGACTTTAAGATGCATACCAAAGCTCTTGAATAAATGCTATACTGTATGGTAATAAATTTGAACACGCTTACTGGCCACAACATTTAGTAAACCTCGATTTTACCAATATTACCGAGTTTTATCATTTTTAATATATTGCATCAAGCTGCTATGTTGTTTTAGAAACACCTTTAGAATACTGCCAGAATTAGCATTACAGTTATTCTTTTGTCAATCAAATCTGACAATTATCATGCTTGTAAATGCTAAATTTTGGATACAACTCTTGTAGTGGTTTACATTAGTTTGTACCCAATGTGGGTGGCGAACTTATATAACTATATATTATATATGAAAAAGAATACAAACGAGATACTGTACTATTATAAACACAGTTGATGTCCTCATGTTCAGCAATGCTATTTCATTAACTCAACAATCCCTCTGGAGTAATTAAGAAAAATAATATATAAACTCTAAATGCATTTTATACATACACTTTGCAGCCTGAGTGCTTATTGAAATATGTTTGCCTAATATAAATACTAAAATAGTGTTAAAGTGTGAACACAATGCCTGCCAAGACAGAGGAATCTCCTCATAATGTCCTGCTGTACATGCAATCAAGACAATTCAGCATGAGAGTGATTTTTTTTTTTTTTTGGTGCTACGAGTTGACATGAAACTTAATGTCTTGATTACATTCAAAACATTTCTTTAGAGACACTTTCAGCATATGTTTATTATGTATTTGCTTGTCTTTTTTAATTATTTTTACATTTATCTCATTAGTTCCCTAACTTTTCATGCAAAAAAATACAACTTATGACATTCATTTAACCAAAGAAAGATGTTCAAAAATGCATGTATTAGACTACAGATCATATGTTCATGCTCATTGTCAAAAGGTTACTTTTTTTGTAAACTTGTTTTTTTTCATGTTGCCTATCTTATGTATACAGTAAATTATCGAAGTTTTGATTAGTATATATTTCTTCTTTTGTGATCAAATTACCAACAGTTTTGAAAAATGGACCATAGCTTTGTTTCAATAGTGCCACTTTATTTGCCAATATATGAGTGGGGATTTTAGGGGAATTATTTATCTGATTCGATTCAAATTGCAGATTATCCGAGTGTTTCCATTTGTTTCAGCACAACTAAAAGAATCTCATTCAAATGTGAAATTTTCAGTTTGTACAAGTCTTAATTTTGACAGCTTGTATGCATCTCTCTAGGGCTGTGTGTTTCATTTTTCTCCTGTTCTTTGCTTCACTTCTGTTGAATAAAACTGTGGATAATGTTTTTTGTCATATTTATATACTCTACACACACACACACACACACACACACACACACACACACACACACACACACAGGTGTATACCGTATATAATATGTAGAGAAAGTATACAGGTACTTGTGTACTGGTTTAAGAGTCATCGTGCTGCCTTCTAGACAGTGCGGTGTGAAAACCGCAAAAGGCAATTCTGTCTGGAGTACACAGTATATCACTGTTGACGTGTTGTAAATCCATATGTTTTTGTTCATTGAAAATATTGATAATTACATTTTACATTCATTCAGGCTGTTTGTGTTACCGGGAATAACTACAAACTGGTCCGAATCAGGTCAGGCTAATTTTGGTGAGAAAATACAAATGACAGATTTTTCGTATATGTCACTGTTTGTAAAACGGTGTTTTTCCGGACTATTGAAAAAAAAGTGAAAATTGAGGGTATACCCACTTTTCTGGAGACCACTACACCATTGGAGTGTAGTATAAAACATCTTTAATTCTTGGGTCAATAAGACAACCGCATGCCATGCAACAAATTAAAAAGCAATAAATGAAGTGGAATGTGAAAGGTGAATCTTGAGTCACATTCCCACTTTTTTTTTTTTTTTTTGTCAATCAGGTGCTAAATAATTCGAGGAAAATCGAACTACCCACTAAGAGATCACCAGATGGTAGGGTGTCAACCAGCTTGCTTTGAGCACAGCTGGCAACTTGTACGACTCTCTAAAACATGAATACATGCTGTGTTATTTGGACTCCTTCTTGTATTGCAGAGAACAGAAGGAGCTCTCAAATGTTTTAAGAATCCACAACAGGTAACACAGCACCTCAAAGACATGCTTTTAAACTTTCATGAGTATCTGCCCGGAATTTTCCCCATTGAAAGGATCTTTAAAAGAGACCGGAAGGACACAAACCTGTTAATTTCCACGGGGAAGGCATGAGGGACATTGAACGGTAAGAGCAGTTCTAATAGATCCAAGTGGCTCCCCATATTGTTTGCTTTGTGTTACTCTTCGACTGCTATTATTCTCTTGCAGTGATTCATTATGTTGTCCAAATACGGCATCCTTCTGGTCTTCTGCATCTGTTCCCGAGTCTGTATTGCTACACGTCCTTGTCCCATCGGCTGCTGCTGTCTTCGCCCAGGAGTTTTGGTTGTGTGTGAGTCCTCGGGCCTTAGGTCGCTTCCACGTTCACTCCCTCTCAACACCGCTGTCCTGTCAGTGGCAAAAAACAGGCTCTGTAATGTGGACCACCTACTCCTTCCCTTCACCAGCCTGCAGGAGCTCAGCCTCAGTCACAACTTGCTGGTCCGCTTCCCCCGAGGCCTCCCGCCCAGCTTGGAAGAATTGTTTCTACAACAGAACCGCATCACCTACATCACCGTAGGTGCCTTGAGGCAACTGAGGAACCTCACTCTGTTAGATCTGAGAGACAACCACATCCGTGCCATCCAGCCAGGGGCGCTTCAAAACCTGAAAAAGTTGCAGGTCCTCATGCTGAAGGGCAACAAATTGACCAGCTTTTCTCCAAATCTACCTGCCTTTTTAACCCACTTAGACGTTTCTGCTAACTGCATTTTTGCCCTGGGCCTGCCCTCTCTGCCCACCTCGCTCAATGTGCTTATATTCAAAATCAGCAGCAACTGCTTACGTTCTGTTTTGGACAGCAACTTCGACAAGGGACCACATCTCCAATCTGTGGATCGTATCCACAACCAGAGGATGTGCGAGTGTGAAGTTTTGTATCGAGGCCACTGGATGCTAAGCAGCTGGTCGAAGATGACTAGCACAGACTTGGAATGCACTGAGCCGAGCCACCTCGCTTACCATCTGCTTTTAAACCTCTCGATGGCGGCAATCTGTCCTGGTATCCTCAAGCCAAACGACATGACACTTCAGCTGAAGGCCTTGATAGTGAATCCTGTGTCATCTTGGGTCCCGACTTCAGTGGAGGAGAAAAATCTGGAAGAATGGTCGGCACAGCAGAGAGCAGAAGACACCTCTGCTGGCCATCTTCCTGAAAATAAAGCCATTGTGAAAACAGTCCGTATGAGTTGCATTATAGATGAGCACTTATTTTTGCATACTTTAACTTATCAGGACTGTTTGACCTTTAACAAAGCCCAAAGCATTGCCGTGTCCCATTCAACTCCAAGCCCTTATGAGGAAAAAAGGCACAAAGACAAGACCACCGTTCACTTCTCTCAGATTACAACCCATCTTACAGGGACACGAGCTTCGTTTTTCACAAAGAATGACACTACCTTGTCCGCCCGCAACCTCCTTCACTGGGTGCTCATTTGGCTGCCGGCAGGCTTGAGTATAATGTTTCTCCTGCTCATGCTGCTGTTTTCCTCGTGCAAAAAAAGGTTCTTCAGTGCCAGAGTGGCTCTTCTTAGAGGGCATTAACACTGAAGAAAGCCACATCCCGAGTTAGGAGGGTGTGCACACCTGTGCAGCCAGTATGTTTTTACTTCCTCTCAAAAAAAAAAAAAAAAATTCTCAGTTGAGTTGTACAGGTTTATAGGTCACAATCATGTTTCCAAGTTTTCAAATGACTGATGACAAGAGGCTTTATTTCTATTATAAACGGTGCATCAAATTCAAGCTTTTCGGAAGCACAAATGGAACACAGCTGATTTATTGTAATATTGACCTTTAATTTCCAGTTTCAAAATCTCCATCACGCAGACCCATCACAAATATGAATACAATTGAAGAAGCCGAATATCATATTGCTTTTGTCTAGATGGTATTTGGTAAGTATGTGATGATGTTTTAAAAAAAAAAAGTTACTATTGCATCATCACAACTGCAAATATTATTGAGCAACAGGTTTGTTACACTAAAGAAGAGAAAAGAGAGGAAAGTATCCATAATCCCGAAGGAAGAAAGGGTTCAAAACTTTCTGTGCAGCCCTGTGACAACATACTTGACACTTCCCTGAGGTACACTGACCCATTATGGATACTTAATGATGAGAAATTAACCGCTGGCTTTGACACCCTGCTCCTCCTTGTTCTGTTTTATTCTGTAGTCAGACAGGGCTGCTTTGATGGCATCTTCTGCAAGCACTGAAACAGGAGAAGAGAACGAATAGTGAGAGCATTTCTAAGTCTGAGTTTGTATTTAAATGCGCTGGAATATTCTGGACAGAGCATGGCCATGTTCTGATGCCTCCATATAAAAACGCTCTTTTCCCTCTAGGCTAAGGTTTGTCAACTGAACTCCTACCAAATAGCGGTTAAAACTGCACTGAGATGTGCTGCCTGTCATATATACATTTGCAACTGTTATTGACATCTGTCATGTTGCATCAATTTCTGCTTTGAAATATCTGTTCACATCGTGTGCTTACTGGAACAATGAAGCTTGACTGGTGGAAGGGAGAGTTCTTTTGCAATGTCTGTGTTCTTGATCCTCAAAGCTTCATCGATCTGTAGGGAAAAAGGACAGAGCAATCTCAATCAATCCAAATAAGAATTTTTCAGAAATGTTTAAATTCTTTGTAGACTCACCGACTTCCCTTTCACCCACTCAGTTGCCAGAGAGCTCGAAGCAATGGCTGATCCGCAGCCAAATGTTTTAAATTTGGCATCCACGATCTTCCCATTTTCATCCACTTCAATCTGGAGATTAAACAATACAGCAGTTGATCTGCTTGACCAACAGCACCAGTTTATCGTGTTTTTTAACCACTTCACTTACCTGCAGTTTCATGACATCGCCACAGGCCGGAGCGCCCACTAAACCAGTCCCTACGTTTTTGGCATTTTTATTCAAAGAGCCCACATTTCTTGGATTTTCGTAGTGGTCTACAACCTTCAGAAGGATTTAAAATCTGCTGATCACTCACAGTTGGGAATCATTATAATGCAACGAAATAGGCATTTATTTAGCCACGTTTGTATAACTTGATATCCAGAATAACCAGGTCCATGTACTCATATCATTTTTGTCCTCAAACAGAAAGATTTCACGCACTAGGATAACAATCTTGCGTGTAACGTGTTTTTTTTAACTACACGCCTGGCCTTCTATAACCCGCAAACCAACCTCACTAGTACACTACTGTGCTGCACTAGTAATACTATCAGGTAACTTGCGGGTATGTGTCATCTGGACCCTACTCGTGACACCAAAATGCATTGGTAACATTGTAGACGTACGAGGAGATAGACTTTAACCTGGATTTCAAGGATATCGATTCAATGCTAAACAGTTACTGAACCGAACAGGCAGCACGCACATGAGCATACAACTTAACAAAATGCGAGAGCTTCGTTGCAACAATTGGAAAGGCGTCAAAACGGTCCATTTGGTTACCTTCTTGTGATATGAGCAGAGAATCTTTAGCTCCGGACAGAGCAACCTTCCGCTCAACAACAACGAAGACTTTCGTAAGGCCATCGCCATGTTCAGAAACCGACAAGTTCCGGAAACGCACGAGCAAACACGAGTCCAGGAGGTTTGTTTATAAACACTGAGGTCGGCGGAGGAAGGGTAAGAGCGCCCACTAGTGGCTCGCGTTAGCTCTGATAGCTCAGGACTGGGGGAATGTTTCAGTTTGTTACCAGGCAGACAGCCTTTCCAATATGGCAGCGGCGAGCAACGCAGAGCATACGCATTTGCAAGATATGGAAGAAGACGACGCGGAGATGGATGATCGGCAAATGGACTCGGAGAGCGACGGCGAAGAAGGCATGGGAGTGGACAATTCGGACGACGAAGAGGACGAGACGTCAGAGGACGAGAAAGAAAATGAAGCCGAAATCCAACGCCTAGAAGAGCAGGTAACTCTTAAATGTAGTGACGCTAGCCGAGTAGCTGAACGCGAATGAATGAGTACGAAACAGTCGCCGACAATTTAACGAGTGAACGCTTGCCACGCAATTTGCGCTCGCGTAGAATTAGAAGAGAAAATTGTTGGGTGAAGTTATTCCATTTGCGACGTTTATTGGCGTGACGTGATGCTAGCTGATCGTGACTGTACACGCGCCGCGCGTTTTGCTTTGTGACGTCACAGTTTTAGCATGAAAGCCGAATAATCAGAGTCCGAAAAAAGTAATAGAGGACAAATATAATGAGCAAATGGCCACGTGCCACTAAATGCACAATTCTTCATATTTGGGTCAGTGTCCTAAATGTTGTCGAAGTCACTTTCTCCCGTCAGCAACACAGGAAATAAACCCAATAAAGTTTATTATTCTACACGCACTCACGTTTCACACGAACCTTGAGCAGAAACCACGACACTAGGTTGTAGAAATAGAAAGATATGTCTTAATTCAGTTTTAATGACATGAAAGTGGAAGGTGGGAGTTTTAAGCAAGGTAGACTGAAGCTGTGTATCTGGGGTGCGCACTGAGCATTTGCAAGAGTCCTGTAATATTTCTTGCAAAATGTAGCTGTTTTCCCCCAAATTGTGATTTCGTTATTTTTCATAGAGTAATTATTTATTTAGCACTTGTTCGTTCTACTAGGTATTAAATACAGTTCTAAAATCTAAAACAAAATAGTAAAATAAACACATCAATCTTTTCAAAATGCATTTTGTTAAAGGTTTGATGAATCTATTGACTTCTCACTCAGACTTCTTGACCCACATGCCTGCATTTGTGTGATGTGGTGCTCTGTGCGGTGTGCAACACAAAATATTCATCCGAGTGTGATTTGGATTTCCCCTTGAGAGATTATGAGTACCGGTATATATAAAATAAAATATAAATGTTTTTGTTTACCTCATATTATGAATGACCAAGCCAATCTGTTTGCCTGCCTGCCTGCCTGCCTACCTGCGCGCGTGCGCGCGTGTGTGTGTGTGTGTGTGTGTGTGTGTGTGTGTGTGTGTGTGTGTGTGTGTGTGTGTGTGTGTCTCTCTCTCTCTCTCTCTCTCTCTCTCTCTCTCTCTCTCTCTCTCTCTCTCGCTCTCTCTCTCTCTCTCTCTTTGTCTTTCTCTTTGGCTTTCTCCCTACAGGGAAGAAACTCTACAGGAAAGAGACTAAATCCTGGTCATAACTACAAAACAATTAAAAAACATGATATCTTGCTGGAACTGAGCACGCTTAATTGTGCAATTGCATACTAAAAAGACATGAAAGAAAGATGAGTTCAACCATAAGTGTCTCACTGTCACTTTGAGAACCGCATCTGATCCCAAGCATTAGCTTGTCAAAAAGATACAGACCCCAAATGTTGAATTGTACTGTTCTGTGATTTCTAGCTCTCGATCAATGCCTTTGACTACAACTGCCATGTTGACCTCATCAAACTACTGAAGCATGAGGGCGAGCTGATCCGTTTGCGAAAGGCGAGACAGAAGATGAGTGAACTTTTTCCTCTCACAGAAGGTAGATGTATACCTACTGCAAGTCCAGATTCCAAACAAGTTGATCTGTTTGAATTATATACCTGACCTCCTCTGTGTAACACCACAGAGATCTGGCTAGACTGGCTCAAGGATGAGATTCGCATGACTGAAGAAGAACCAAACCGAGAAAAAGTCAATGAACTTTTTGAAAAGGCTATAAAAGACTACATTTGTAAGTGCATGCTGGCAAAGCAAAGATTCCACATCTAGATAGAACAAAATCCCGAGATTGAGTGTCTTCTTCTTCCACTCAGGCCCCGATATCTGGCTGGAATATGCCCAGTATTCCATTGGGGGCATGGGCTCGCCAGGTGGCATTGAAAGGGTGAGATCCGTTTTCGAGAGAGCAATCACAGCTGTTGGGCTTCACATGACCAAGGGACAAACGGTGTGGGAGGCGTACAGAGAATTTGAGAATGCCATCCTGGCCACGGTACAGGTCAGTGTTGTCTTCATCGGCGACATTTAAACAAATGTCCGACGCCATCGAGGTTTATATTGTCTCCCTTTCCATCATATCAGCGACATTTCTCTTTGTTAACGCATTTGGGTGAGCTCACGTGCCGTGTAGTCATTTATTCGTGTTGTTCATCCTCTGTATTGTCTTTCCTTTCAGCCTCCTCCTGGCAAGATTCCCAGCCACGATGAGCAAGAGCTGCTGAACAAGCAGCTTCAGCGCATCCATACACTGTTTCGCCGCCAACTGGCCATCCCCTTAATGGGTAAGGATGTCCTCCAGATGGCGTGCTGGACAGTGAGCAGCAGCAGAAGTTTGTGTGGGCTGGCCAAGCCTGAAGAAGTGTGCATGACTCATGTTGAGAATTTTTGTTGTTGTTGAGCATCAACTCTCACATTCAATGTTGAAGAGCGAGTAATAGCAACAAAGTAAAACAAAAAGCAAACTATTTTTCGCTAAATATTTTTTTGAGACCCTTTAACAAATTTAAACCGAACTGAACACATCTCTGCGTTATCATTTTAATGATGTACAGAAGTGATTTATCTTTTGTTTATTACAATTTTTTTTTTCTTAGACATGGAGGCAACATATGCAGAGTATGAGGAATGGTCTGACAATGCGCCACCTGAGGAAACTGTGCATCAGTACAAAAGTGCTTTGCAGCAGAGGGAGAAGTACAAGCCCTTTGAAGAGTCCCTGGTAAGCAACCACCAATGAGGCTTCAGACTTGACTGAGCTGCTGACTTTGAACAGTGGACCTTGGTTTATTCGGCTGTCCTGTTGCAGTTAGTGGCAGAGACGCCTAAATTGGCCGAGTATCAGGCCTACATCGACTTTGAAATGAAAGAAGGGGACCCGGCCCGCATCCAGATGACGTTTGAGCGGACTTTGATCGACAATTGCCTGGTACCGGACATGTGGACCAAATACGCTACATATCTTGTGAGTATTGACTTGGTTTAGGACTCTTGGTGTCTGAAAATGATCTCCTCCTCAGATGACTTTCGTTTCAGTCAAATAGTTTTGTAAAATCGTGAACGTTTATGTTGGTGGACGACCAAAGCAACTGGTTGTGATTTTATAACTGAAACAGTGTCAGTTTTGACTTGGGGTCTAAGAAAATCATCCAGCCACCCGTTTTCCAAGCCGCTTATCCTCACGAGGGTCACGGGCGTGCTGGAGCCTCTCCCAGCTGTCCACGGGTGGTAGGCGGGGTACCCCCTGAAGGTCCAAATTACTGTTGCCTTGTTTTCTTTGGCCTGTCTAGGACCGTCAACTGAAAATCAAAGATCTGGTTCTCTCCACTCATGATCGTGCTGTCAGAAACTGCCCGTGGACTATGAGTCTTTGGAAGAGCTATTTGCAAGCCATTGAGAGGCATGGGGGCACTCATCAAACTGTTTCAGGCAAGGACTCGTTGACACACATTTGACATGTCTGTGAGAATGATTACTGAAGGAGAACCTGCTGTCTTCCACAGATTTGTTTGAAAAGGCTCTCAATGCAGGGTTCATTCAAGCGACGGATTACGTGGCGATCTGGCAGGTATATCTCGACTACCTGAGGAGACGTGTGGACTTCAGCCAAGGTGAGAGCAGCACTTGATCAAGTCTGTGGGTGGAAACGTTCATGCATGGTCTCTGTTGGTGTCCTCCCCCCACGTCACAGAGTCGAGTCAAGAATTGGAGGAGTTGCGCGGATCCTTCACGCGCTGTTTGGACTACATGAAACAAGATGTTGAAGAAAGTAGGTGCCAATCACATTCAGAAGGTTCAAGTTTCATGTGAATTTCCACTCTGACTTGTTTTGTCATGATACAAGGATTTGGGGAAAGTGGAGACCCTTCCTGCAACATCATGCAAATCTGGGCAAGGATAGAGGTACGTTTTGTTACTCTGACAACTCTTTTGAATGGATGGCCTTCTTTCGTAATTGTCGTTGTCAGTCTGCTTCAGGTTTTTCAAATATGCTAACAACTGTGGGCTTGTGAAGCCCTTTGGGGCTGGTTTTATTTGATTGTCTCTTCCGTCCTCCTCCCAGGCCCTGCATTGTAAAAACATGCAAAAAGCCAGAGAACTGTGGGACAGCATCATGACAAAAGGGAATGCCAAATATGCCAACATGTGGCTGGAATACTATAACCTCGAACGGTCTGTTAGCGCGTGTCATGTTGAAAAGTGCTTTATCGAACAAACTTTACAGCATGGTCTGATCACTTGTATTTGGTACTTTCTCTCCAGAGCTTATGGAGATTCGCTCCACTGTCGAAAAGCGCTTCACAGAGCCGTCCAGTGCACCTCTGACTACCCAGAACACGTGTGTGAGGTCTTGCTCACCTTTGAAAGAGTGCAAGGTGAGCTCCCCCTCTCATATAACAGACTGGATACGGCAGTTGGGGAGATTTTCATGACACGTCTACGCATCCAGGCTCTTTGGAGGACTGGGATGTGGCAGTCCTGAAAACCGAGACTCGCCTCAACAGAGTCAATGAGCAACGGGCAAAGGTCGGAAGCTGAGAGCAGCATTTGTTTAAGCATGTCTGTCTTTTAAAGGTTTTTCACTCTCGTGAGTATCCTCTGGCTGTTTTTTTAAGGTGGCAGAGAAAGAAGCCATCCAAGCCCTACAAGAGGAGGAACAATTTGAGCAGAAGCGGAAGGCCAAGGCAGAGAAGAGGGCTCAGAAAAAAGTTCAGAAGGGGGGTCGGTTTGGGGAGAAGAGGAAAGCAGAGCACGTGCTCGATCAGGATGAGTGGACTGACCATGCAGGTAAATTGGATACACAGCAAGACACCCGTGTCGCGTCAATAATCATGAAATATTCGGATTTTCTGAGATTTCAAGCGTTTTCTCCTAAAAGTAACATGATAATACAACCTATCTATGGAACAATTATGATTGGCTGGCAACCACTCCAGGGTGTACCCCGAGGCCAAAATCAACTTGGGACAGGCTCCAAAGGCCTTCTCACACTGCACTTGTTTTTTTGTGGTGCACACCGCAGGACCACGCACAAGGAGAACAGCATCCCAGTGCAAGCGTGTCCGTCTTTGGAGGTGGAAGTAACAAATGCTTTTCCCACTGGTTGCTGTTAGCACACTGAGATCATTTTGCCAGTCCCTCTCCCATGGGATGCGCCTTTTGACCTCAACTCTCAAATTCAACATTTTTCGGGTTAGCATTGCGCGCCCGACTCGAGCCCTTGCGACACGTTCACAATGAAATGGGTTTGTCTACAGTGTGCTGCACATTGCTGAGTGTCGGCAGCAAAGGGATTTTTTTTTTTTTTTCCAAATACAGCTCTTAGGCAGACATTTGAAGATTTTAGGCCATTGCTGTTTTGTCAGTGTGAATGATTTGTTGTGGTCTTCAAAACACCATCATTATAACGTGTGGGAAAACTTTGGTCATATTCCGTTTCCTCTGTTGTTGATAGACCAAGCTCCGAAGCGACACAGAGGAAATGGTGAGCAAAGCAAGGAGGAGGACATACTGACTCTTGAGATTGATCTCCATGAGAAGGCTCCTCCTGGCTATAAAGGTTCAGCGCGGCCTGGATTCAACAAAGCCCAGCAGGCCAGCGCCCAGCAGCAGAGCGATGATAAAACAGAGCTTCGGAATGATGACAGCAGCGTGTTCGTGAGCAACCTGTCGTACACCCTGGATGAGCCCGAGGCCAGATTGAGGACTCTCTTTGAGACATGTGGAACCGTCAAACAGATTCGCCTCGTCTCCACCAACAAAGGGACCTTCAAGGGTTACGGCTATGTGCAGTTTGAAAGCTCTGAATCCGTCTCTGAAGCCCTCAAACTCGACAGACAGCAAGTGGAGGGCAGGCCTATGTTTGTGTCACCATGTGTAGACAAGAACAAGAACCCGGACTTCAAGGTAAATTTGAAATACACTCAAGACCCACTATAGAGACCAGAAAAAAAAAAACATCTTAAACTTGCCTTGTATACTGCAAAAACCCAAACAATCGCTTAAAAATCCGCAGTGTACTGTAGCAGGGAAACATTGTACTGTGTGCAAAACATGTCCTTTGTTTAGTGTTATGTGACTACTTCGCTTCTGTAGATGTTCAAGTACAACACAGCAATGGAAAAACACAAAATCTTCATCTCTGGGCTACCATTTTCCTGCACCAAGGAGCAACTGGAAGAACTAAGCAAGAATCACGGCACCCTCAAGGAAGTTCGTCTTGTGACATTCCGTTCAGGAAAGCCCAAGGTGAGACATACCGATGCAATACAGTGAGCAGGAGAGTGATCAGGACACAGCTGACCTCCTCTCTGATTGGGGGCTTGCGCAGGGTTTGGCGTATGTTGAGTTTGCAGATGAAGCCCAGGCTTCTCAGGCAGTGTTGAAAATGGATGGCATGTATGTGGAGGGGAACAAAATCTCTGTTGCTATTAGCAACCCTCCTCGCAGAAACACCAGCAAACCTGGGCCCAGTCTGCCCACCACAAACCCGACGCCTCACCAGGTCCACGGCTCGTAAGTTTACCACGGGACACTTAAATCTTCACGAGTGCTTACAGTTGTGCTTCATTTTTTCAATATTTTTTTTTCCCCCCAGGAGAGGGAGAGGGCGCACACAATTGTCATTGCTCCCTCGCTCTCTGAATCGCCAAAGTGGGTCAGCAAGCAAAGTGGAGAATGGGACTGCGTCTGATGAAGGTGCCGGAGATGCAAAGCCTTTGTCCAATGCAGACTTTGCTAAAATGCTTCTGAAGAAGTGAAGAAAGAGGCTTGCTGGTTTCACATGGAAAGCCATCACGTGATCCTTGCAAAATTCAGTATTTTGAGACTTTGACTTTCTGCAAATGTCAGCCTTCTCGTCATTTTTCCTGCGAGATTGCCTTAACTGCAGAGCTGCTGCCCTCCACCAGCTCCTTTTTTTTTTTTTTTTTTCCAAATACAGCTCTTAGGCAGACATTTGAAGATTTTAGGCCATTGCTGTTTTGTCAGTGTGAATGATTTGTTGTGGTCTTCAAAACACCATCATTATAACGTGTGGGAAAACTTTGGTCATATTCCGTTTCCTCTGTTGTTGATAGACCAAGCTCCGAAGCGACACAGAGGAAATGGTGAGCAAAGCAAGGAGGAGGACATACTGACTCTTGAGATTGATCTCCATGAGAAGGCTCCTCCTGGCTATAAAGGTTCAGCGCGGCCTGGATTCAACAAAGCCCAGCAGGCCAGCGCCCAGCAGCAGAGCGATGATAAAACAGAGCTTCGGAATGATGACAGCAGCGTGTTCGTGAGCAACCTGTCGTACACCCTGGATGAGCCCGAGGCCAGATTGAGGACTCTCTTTGAGACATGTGGAACCGTCAAACAGATTCGCCTCGTCTCCACCAACAAAGGGACCTTCAAGGGTTACGGCTATGTGCAGTTTGAAAGCTCTGAATCCGTCTCTGAAGCCCTCAAACTCGACAGACAGCAAGTGGAGGGCAGGCCTATGTTTGTGTCACCATGTGTAGACAAGAACAAGAACCCGGACTTCAAGGTAAATTTGAAATACACTCAAGACCCACTATAGAGACCAGAAAAAAAAAAACATCTTAAACTTGCCTTGTATACTGCAAAAACCCAAACAATCGCTTAAAAATCCGCAGTGTACTGTAGCAGGGAAACATTGTACTGTGTGCAAAACATGTCCTTTGTTTAGTGTTATGTGACTACTTCGCTTCTGTAGATGTTCAAGTACAACACAGCAATGGAAAAACACAAAATCTTCATCTCTGGGCTACCATTTTCCTGCACCAAGGAGCAACTGGAAGAACTAAGCAAGAATCACGGCACCCTCAAGGAAGTTCGTCTTGTGACATTCCGTTCAGGAAAGCCCAAGGTGAGACATACCGATGCAATACAGTGAGCAGGAGAGTGATCAGGACACAGCTGACCTCCTCTCTGATTGGGGGCTTGCGCAGGGTTTGGCGTATGTTGAGTTTGCAGATGAAGCCCAGGCTTCTCAGGCAGTGTTGAAAATGGATGGCATGTATGTGGAGGGGAACAAAATCTCTGTTGCTATTAGCAACCCTCCTCGCAGAAACACCAGCAAACCTGGGCCCAGTCTGCCCACCACAAACCCGACGCCTCACCAGGTCCACGGCTCGTAAGTTTACCACGGGACACTTAAATCTTCACGAGTGCTTACAGTTGTGCTTCATTTTTTCAATATTTTTTTTTCCCCCCAGGAGAGGGAGAGGGCGCACACAATTGTCATTGCTCCCTCGCTCTCTGAATCGCCAAAGTGGGTCAGCAAGCAAAGTGGAGAATGGGACTGCGTCTGATGAAGGTGCCGGAGATGCAAAGCCTTTGTCCAATGCAGACTTTGCTAAAATGCTTCTGAAGAAGTGAAGAAAGAGGCTTGCTGGTTTCACATGGAAAGCCATCACGTGATCCTTGCAAAATTCAGTATTTTGAGACTTTGACTTTCTGCAAATGTCAGCCTTCTCGTCATTTTTCCTGCGAGATTGCCTTAACTGCAGAGCTGCTGCCCTCCACCAGCTCCTTTTAACCAAGAACACCTTTGACCCTTGTCATTTTTACTCTTCCTTCCCGTTTCTGGCTGTGTTTAAATGTTGCCGTCAGGTTTTATTAAATACGTGTGTAATACAAGTGTGTAAATATGTTTGAAAATTTGTAGACGCCATTTTCCCAACCTCAACCTTTTGTTATTTCAGTGGGACATTGGATTCACAACAATGTGTTAAGCAATGTGTAGAATACTGTGTGTGTGTGTGTGTGTGTGTGTGTACATACAAGATAATACCTATCAGCTTACTAACAGAATTGTAAAAAAAATAAATAAAATTTGACTGTGGATTTAAAGACAATCATTTCAACAGTTAAATGATAAATGGTCCACCAATCTCTTTTGTCAGGCAACTTTTGGTTTGACTTAAAAATGTCACAATTTAAGAGTCATAATAAATTGACTGGCTGAGGCTGACTTATTTCAAGCACTCACATTTAATTTCCCATGTATGCACTTCTGCCAGTGTTAATAAGTTACAGTATGTGATGTGTGTGTGTGTATATATATATATATATATATATATATATATATATATACACACACACACACACACACACACACACAAATATGACAATTTGTAACATTCTCTAGATGGAATACAATCCATATAAAGTGCTCACCACAGTGGCCTAATGTTATATTTAATACACATTCTGTTTAGCCTGTGGATGTTTCATACGGTAAATACAATGGCGGTGTTGATCGGAAAACTTAATGGCTAGTTTATGGTTTGTTAATCCTTGTCTTCCCTTTGTTTTGAAGGCTGAAAAAAATGTCATGCCATAAAATAAAAATATTGACCTCACCAGGTGCGATACTTAATGTGGTGATAAGTCCATTTAAAGTCAATAAAGTGAGCGTTAATACCACTTCTTTTATTTGCATAAAATAAATTATCAAACTATGAAAGTGCTTTCACGTTCTTCCCAAAATAAATCTGTACTAGAGGTCCCAAATGTCAATTGTCGAAGCTTCTAAAGTGACACTTTTTCCAGAAGACAACTTCTGATTGTGCTTGAATGGAATTAAAATACCTCTTCCCACTCCAAATGTTCAGCAGATTCAAGACAGAGCCGGCATGAGCTGATGAATATGACCCTTTAGGGTGAAAACTAGACCATGACCGTTGCCCTCCAAACACCAAATCAGTTGTGAACACGGATGGTGTGTTTGCAATCAGGACAGGCGTGGTCCTGGCTGGCCCCCGGGAGTCCCACTGCATGCTCAGTGGTTGAGATCAACAAAGTGTCCAGCGTAATCTCGGTGCATTTGGCAATGAAACGAATGAAGGGACGCACGTCGCCCTCGTTGGCTGTGTCTAGAGCTGCGTAGTACTCGGCCCGTTGCTCTTTGCGAATGGTGATGGGCGGGTATCGCGCTTGCATGAGCACAAGGTTCATCAAGAGGCGTGACGTGCGCCCGTTGCCGTCCACGAACGGGTGCACGTACACCAGTTTGTAGTGCGCGAGAGCGGCGTACTCGACCGGGTGCAGCTGCAAGGCCTCGTCCGAGTTGAGCCACTGGACCAGCTCCTCCATGTGCCGCTGCAGGTCCTGAGGATGCGGAGGGATGTGATGGCCTACAAACACTTGATTGGTGCGCAGGCGCCCTCCCTCCACGGGGTCCACGTAACCCAGCACTCGACGGTGGATCTCCAGGATGTCACTGACGCTGATGGTTCCTGTCCTGGATAACAGCGTGGTGTTGATGTACTTCATGGCTGCGTCCACACCAATGGCCTCATTCTGCTCCTGCAGGCTCTTGCCGGGGACGGCGTAGCGCGTCTCGATGATGTGACGGATCTCGGATAAAGTGAGCGTGCTGCCCTCTATGGCCACGGTGTGGTAGATGTGGTGATAGTAAGTCTCCTCCATCACCCGACGTAGCGCAGAGTTGCCTTTAGGAATGGACATGAGTCTGCGCACCTTACTGTCTATGATGCCGAAGTGACGCTGGTCAATCTCCTCCACCAGCGGTAGCGTGCGGTCTCTGCTCACCAGTGCCCTTTTATTACAAGGCGAGATGGCCAAAGCCTTGGAATACAGGTGGTCTGCCTGCACCACGTCCTTCTCCTCCTCCAAAATAGTCCCCAGCTCGGTCAGGGCATCCACATAGTCTGGATTCAGACTGAGTGCATGCACCAGCAGCTTGTGGGCTTTCTCCCTCTTGCCGTGTTTCTTCATCTCCTGAGCCAGCTGCAGCGCCGCTCGGGCCTCAAAAATCATCTCTAGATCACAACAGGAGAAAAAAATGATGTCATTAAGCACTCTTGGTGACCTTTTTGTTTCGTGGTGAGACTTTATAATGCAAAATATGTGCCTTAAATTAACTCGGTGAAGGTTGGAAAAAACAGAACACATCGACCATCCACTGATTTTACAACCACTTGCATTGTAGACAGTCTCTGTAATGTTTAAAAAGAGACTCAATAGCTTGACTGATGGAAAGCAGGAAGTTTATGCAGCAGGTGGGTGGGTACCTTTGCTAGGCTTGGACCTCGGAAGAAGCAGGTCGAGGCCTGTGAGAGAAACAGTGAGGCCGGTGGTCTCTACAGCTGGGGGCTGCTCGGAGCTCCCCCACAGCCGGCAGCGAAACTGTGCGATGGCATTCGGGGAGCCACGGCATTGCTCCTCCACTCCGACCAGGGGCGTCAGCAGGGCCACCAGAGAGCCCAGGAAGACACACAGAAGCGGGCCCCATCCTCCGAGGAGACGGTCGCTAGTGTATCGCCACGCCGTCACAACCGCCATGGCAATTTCGGGCTAAATCCTCCATTCTCTACGTTCACGCCACTCTTTCTACTTATACCCCGGTGAGGGGCGGATGGTTGAGACTGGAAACCAACCGGGTATCAACAACACGTTAACGAACCTGCAACGAACCTGCGAGGCATTCCAACATGTCCTACGAGAAATATCCGGTTAAAACAAGGGCAAACTTTGGTTCAGCAGTTGTTGTTAATACACCACAAGGCTACAAAACATACACATCATCGGCGTTTGTCGCCTTGACCCGGAAACATACAGCGAAATCATTGGCCAGGCTCAAATAGAACAACGACGATGATTGGGTAAAATCCAGCAATACAGCGAAAGTTCGTAGTACTCTCTGATTGGATGATACCGATAGCCTGTTCCCAGTATTTTGTCTGTCAGGCACCCGAAGTCCAATGTACAGAGCAAATAGACACGTTGACTTTTTATTACATCACAATGTTCAAGACAATTTTATGGTTAACATTATTTAACATAATTTTCTTCATCTAAATTCATGGATGTTTAATCTGCACTGCATTCGTTGTTTATCCTTCGCTATATTTATACTACAATCGCTGATAGTGTACCAAGTGCAACTTTAACAGAAAAAACAAAGAGGGCAGCAGTGTATCGTTTTTCAAACCACACTTTATGTGTGGCACTGTTGCAGTAGTCCGCAGACCGTGTTTTCCAACCAAACTGAGCCGAGGCATTACATTCGAAAAACTCTTGGAGCACCACCAAACAATAAAACAAACCTACATTGATGATCTTGTCTGTATTTACTCTCAAATGTAGTCACTCGGAGTGTGAATGGCAACAGGTGTATGCTGCCTTCTGCCATCTAGTGGAAGCGCATTTAATTGTTTTGCTTGTCACTGTGCGTCGCTGGCATAGATGGGTGAACGGAGTTACATTAAACTTGTCAACAGCAAATTTTAATCAGAGATAGCTTTGTATGTCCCATAATGTATTTTTGAAGCTGATTTTTAAAAACATTAACTTGTTTCTCGCACATCACGTGTTTCAGGTACTTTCTTGTTTTTTTTGTTGTTTGTTTTTAAGTTTGACCGATAAAAGCTTCTGCAGTACAAATCTTACGGTGCCCTGTAATTTATACCTGTGACGTTTAGAAAAAAAAATCACAAATTCCTTAACGCACTTAATTAATAAATATTATGATGATGATAATAATAATAATAATAATAATAATAATAATAATAAATTATTAAAATTAATATTATTATTATTATTATCCATCCATCCATCCATTGATCCATCCATTTTCTGATCCGCTTAATCCTCACAAGGGTTGCGGGGCGTGCTGGAGCCTATCCCAACTGTTGTCAGGCAGTAGGTGGGGTCCACTCTGAATTGGTTGCCAGCCAATCGCGGGGCACACATAGACAAATGACCATCTGTGCTCACACTCACACCGAGAGACAATGTATAGTGTTCCATTAACCTGCCGCGCATGTTTTTGGAATGTGGGAGGAAACCAGAGTACCCAGAGAAAACCCACGCAGGCACG